AACTCTTCCTTTTTTCCTTTGAAGAATCCTCCCCCATTCCTAAATCCTCCCCAACTCCTCCTTTTTCCTCTGTAGAATCCTCCCCAATTCCGAAGTCCTCCCCAACTCCTCCTTTTCCCTTTGTAGAATCCTCACCAATTCCCAAATCCTCCCCAACTTGTCCTTTTTCCTTTGTAGAATCCTCCCCAATTCCAAACTCCTCCCCAACTCCTCCTTTTTTTCCTTTGTAGAATCCTCCCCAATGCCAAAAAATCCGCCCCAACTCCTCCTTTTTCCTTTGTAGAATCCTCCCCAATTCCAAAAATTCTCCCCAACTCCCTCTTTTTCCTTTTGTAGAATCCTCCCCAATTCCCAAATCCTCCCAAACTCCCTCTTTTTCCTTGGTAGAATCCTCCCCAATTTCCAAATCCTCCCCAACTCCTTCTTTTTCCTTTGTAGAATCCTCCCCAATTCCAAAATCCCCCCCAACTCCTCCTTTTTCCTTTGTAGAACCCTCCCAAATTCCCAAATCCTCCCCAACTCCTCCTGTTTCCTTTGTAGAATCCTTCCCAATTCCCAAATCCTCCCCAACTCCTCCATTCTCCTTTGTAGAATCCTTCCAAATTCCCAAATCCTCCCCAACTCCTCTTTTTTCTTTTGTAGAATCCTCCCCAATTCCCAAATCCTCCCCAACTCCTCCTTTTTCCTTTTGTAGAATCCCCAATCCATTCCCAAATCCTCCCCAACTCCTCCTTTTTCCTCTGTAGAATCCTCCCCAATTCCCAAATCTTTCCCAACTCCTCCTTTTTCCTTTGTAGAACCCTCCCCAATCCCCAAATCCTCCCAAATTCCCCTTTCTCCTTTGTGGAATCCTCCCCAATTCCCAAATCCTCCCCAACTCCTCCTTTTTCCTTTGTAGAAGCCTCCCCAAATCCCAAATCCTCCCCAACTCCTCCTTTTCTTTTGTTGAATCCTCCCCAATTCCCAAATCCTCCCCAACTCCTCCTTTTTCCTTTGTAGAATCCTCCCCAATTCCCAAATCCTCCCCAACTCCTCCTTTTTCCTGTGAAGAATCCCCCCCAAGTCCCAAATCCTCCCCAACTCCCTCCTTTTCCTTTGTAGAATCCTCCCCAATTCCCAAATTCTCCCCAACTCTTCCTTTATCCTTTGTAGAATCCTCCCCAATTCCCAAATCCTCCCCAACTCTTCCTTTTTCCTTTGTAGAATCCCCCCCAATTCCCAAATCCTCCCCAACTCCCTCTTTTTCTTTTGTAGAATCCTCCCCAATTACCAAATCCTCCCCAACTCCTGCTCATAATTTCTGTAGAACCCTAATCGTGAAATCCCCCCCCCAACCCCGCTGACGTCATTACAGGGCGCAAAAATAATTATCGAAACGATTGTTCCGGTAATGTAATGTTTGTTGCCCCTGCAGTAGGTCTTCGCTTTGCCACTGGCCACGTGGCTTTCGCTTCAGACAACGATGAAGTCGTCCGAGGATGGTGGGCAAGAAGGCGGAGGAGACCGATTGGAGCCCTGTCCTCAGGATGGAGAGAGATCCGCAAGCACCTCCAGGACAGACCGCCCGAACAAGTACTGTCAGCTGGGTACCGTCTCAGCTTTCCCCTTCAGAAGTTGTTTCGAGGCAAGTTCGCAGCTGGATGTTTTCAGATAGCATCGTTGCAGACGGGCTAGCAGGAATTGTAGCCGAACAGCACAGAGTTTCGGAGGATACGCGTTTCAGGACTGCCATGTGGGAACGGAAGGCAGCTTTGGTCAGGAAGCGTTTGTTGAGAGCCACTCCTGAAGCCACCATTGCAGATCGGGAACTCAAGCAGGCTGAAAAACGGAGGTCCGAAGCAGATGCTGCCGCTGCCATTCCCACTGTTGCTCCTCACCCTCCCCCCCGCCCGTTCCTTCGTTGCCCGCCGCCGCTGTCCTCGCCCTGCTCACATCGGAGCACGTGGTCTCCGAGGACGGGCTGAGCTGCGTGAGCTGCAAGAGCTCGTGCATCAAGGCACGGCGCGCCGATTAGCTAGGCTCCGTTGGTGCCCCTTTAGAATGTGTTCCTGGAGACACCTGTCAGCCTCGTGGGGAGGGTCCATCTTGCTGGTGGGCGGGTGCATGTTTCTCACAACGTGATTTACCATGAGAAACCACAAGTTTGGGTTTGTAAGCCTTGCGGGCTTTGCGGGAGCGAGCAGTTTCGGAGCCTCGCGGAGTCCCTGCGAGCCCCTCCCGATTACGATCAGAGGAGGAGGGGGCACCCTTCGCGACTCGAGCGAGGGCCATCTTGCTGGTGGGGCGGGTGCGTGTTTCTCACAACGTGATATGCCATAAGAAATCACGAGCTTGGATGTGAAAGTCTTGCGGGCTCTTCGGGAGCGAGCAGCTTCGGAGCCTCGCGGGGTCCCTGCGAGCCCCTCCCGATTACGATCAGAAGAGGAGGGGGCACCCTTCGCGACTCGAGCGCGGGCCACCTCCCGAGTCCTCCTCCTGGAGAGGGTCTCCAGAAGACCTCAGGACGGCTACCAGAATCTCCGTCCTCCTCCTCCTCCCCCTCCCCCTCCCCCTCCCCCCCTCCTCCTCCCACTCCTCCTCCTCCTCCTCCTCCTCCTCCTCCTCCTCCTCCTCCTCCTCCCTCCCCCTCCTCCTCCCCCTCCTCCTCCTCCTCCTCCCCCTCCCTCCCCTCCTCCTGCCGGCAGGATCGTCGGTCCGAGGCCGCCCACCGCGAGGAGGGGGCCCCCCCGAGGGCCGACGGGGGGACGGGGAGGGGCGCAGGGAGCTCCGCAGGCAGGGCGTGCCACTCGGCCTCGACTCGGGGATGGACAGACCCCCCTTTAGTAAAACGTGGTTTAGTGAGAACGACCTGAGGCCCAAACCTGGCGGGCGCAAGCCTGGTAAATAACGGCCACGGCGCCCTCTCGATAACCGAAAACGGACAATTCACTAATCGACGTGTCACTGTTGGGGGTTCTGTCCGCACCCGATCGACGTCGCATTGGGCAGCGTCAGCGGATGGGGGGCGAGCCGTTCAGCATGTCGCTCCAAGATCGGCGGCGAGCGAGGGGGGAGTGAGAATGACTACCTGCCAGACCACCCCCGCCCGACCTGAGGACCCAAATCAGACCCGAATTTCGGGTTGGGGGGGGTACGGGTTCCATGTGTTTTTTCAATGTCCCCCGACCCCCCCCACACTGGAAATGGAGGGCAAATTGAGGCCTTCGGGTTGGGTTGGGGTGGTTTGGTGCGGGGAGTGAGAAGGAGGAGGCTTTCTCAGAAAGTGGCGGGACTTCCCAGAGGCGGCCGCGCCTTCTGAGGGGTTCTCTACGTCTTCGAAGGAAACTCGGAGAGCCTCTCGGAAGGTTGAGGGACCTCCGAGCCTTCTGAGAAGGCCCGCCCCTTCTCACTTCCCCCCGGGCTCGCCGCCGAGCATTGGGCAACGTCAGCGGAAGGGGGCGAGGGACCGGGAGCATCGTTCAGCCGATCCCCATCCCCACTGGCGTGGCCTGGGTCCCACTGGCCGATTCACCTCCCCAGGTGGGGACACAGGCTGCTCTTTTCGGGCTTCGAGGAGCCTTCCCCAAACCGGGATGGTCGGATGGTGGAGCCCCTCTCCTGAGCCCAAAGTGGTCCTTCTGCCAGCGCCCTGACTGCAGGTTACACGATATGCCAAGAGCGGGAGGAGAGGGCGAAGACCGAGAGGAGAGGAGCGGGCGACACAAAAGGGCCGGGGAACACCAGGCCGATCGGAGAGTCCACGCCGAGGCTCCAGAGACCCGGCCAAGCTCCGGCACTCCCTGGCATTCTGAGCTTGTGTGGAGAAGCAGCCTTGGGACAGGGAGCCTGCATTGATCGGGGGTGCGCAAACATGGATTACCGATCCATGGATTTGACGCGCGGTCGCCGAATCCATGGATCGGAGGAGGCGCAATCCCCAAAAAAAGGCCGGTGCCGCCTCGCTCGGCGGCGGAAATCCGCGATTTCCACTGGAAACGGGACCCGTCGCTAATCCACGCCCCCTTGATCCGTGTTTGCGATCGCCTGAGACAGGGAGCCTGCATTGAACAACTGATTCGCTTCCGAAGTGAGGTCGAGGACACCCCGCTGGAGCGCTAGAGACCAGTCCGAGGAGCTAAGGGTCACGTCATAACCGAAAGCGCTCCCCGTCTCGAAGCCCTGGCTGTCAAAACAAGCACGTGGGGGTGAACGTGCCCTCGGAGCAGATATTGCACCCCGCCCGCGACCCACCCGCGACCCACCCGCGACCCACCCCGCGACCACCCCGCGACCCGCCCGCGCGACCCACCCGCGACCCACCCACGACCCACCCCGCGACCACCCCGCGACCCACCCCATGACCCACCCCGCGACCCACCCCATGACCCACTCCGCGACCCACCCGCGACCAACCCGCGATCCACCCCACGACCCACCCGCAACCAACCCGCGACCCACCCCGCGCCCGCCCCCTCACTCTTATCCGCAATTGCGGGGTGCTGTATATTGCACCTCACCCCGTACCTCCTCCATCCGTCCATGCGGCCTCACAGATGAGGACATATCTCGATGTGATCGGCGCCCTGCTCGCCCATCTTCTCCCACCTCCGCATCCCCCTCCTCCTCCCACTCCTCCTCCTCCTCCTCCTCCTCCTCCTCCTCCTCCTCCTTCTCCCCCTCCTCCTCCTCAATCTGCTTTTCCCCTTCGGCCTCCTCCTCCTCCTCCTCCTCCTCCTCCTCCTCGGCGCCCTCCTCCTGAGCACACAGCTCCTCGCCCTCCTGCTCCTCATTCGTCTCCGTCCTCCTCTCCCCTCCCCTCCTCCTCGGGGGACGCGAGCCATGCGCCAACACCGACCGTGGGCAGGCCACACGTCTCCCGAAAGCCGAGCCAGGAGCGGCGCACACGTCTCCCGAAAGCCGAGCCAGGACGACGAGCATACCGACCTCTGGGCGCGGAACTGGCCCGCCCAGGGCCGGTGTCGGCGCGTGCGCAGCTGGCGTCGTCCAGAGCCCCAGCGGTCCTCGACCCACGCCTCACCTCGGGGCAGGCTCGACTGCAGAGAAGGGGATGGGGAGGGTACGATGGGGGAGGAGACGGAGGAAGAGAAGGAAGAGGATGAGGAGGAGGGGGAGGAAGAGGAGGGAAACGAGGACGATGACGACGATGGACGAGGAGGAGGAGGCTAAGAATGGGGAGGAGGCCGGTGAGGATAACGACAACGATGCCGATAACGAAACGGTAACGGCCAGGAACATGACGGCGGATCCCGCGTGTGAGTTTCTGAGAGCGTGGGCTTGAGCTCGCTCAAGCTTCGCTCTGCAAAGGGGGGGACGCAAACGACGAAATAATTGACACGCAAAGCCTCCCCAATTCCGGGACCGCTCCCCTCCCCTGCACCTTCCTCTCCGGCGCCCCCCCCCTCTCTTCCTGCACCCCTCCCCTTCCCCAGCAATCTCCTCTCCGCCCCCCCCCCTCTTCCTGCCCCCCCCCAACTCTGCACCGCCTCTTTCTCCCAGCCCCCCCCCCCCCTGCACTGCGCCCTGGACAGGAGAGAAGGGGGGGAGGGAGGGGAAAGGAGAGAGGGGGGAGGCAGGAGAGAGGAGGGGGGGGGGGGGGGGACAGGAGAGAGGAAGGAGGGGGGGGGAAGAGAGGGGGGGGAGAGAGGGGGGGGACAGGAGAGAGAGGGGGGGAAGGGGGGGAGAGAGGGGGGGGGGGGAAAGGAGAGAGGAGGGGAGGGTCAGGAGAGAAGGGGTTTGATTTGACACGTCGCATTGCAAAGGCTAACACCAGAAAGGCAGGGAGGAAGTCACTAGAGGGCCCAACCCCCAAAGGGGGTAGGACACACCAGCAACTAACTCCCCACCTCACCAGTCGAAGCCAAAGAACCACCGCTGTCCACAGCACAGGTGAAGTCCGCTAGAGGCACCAGCTCATCAAGCAACACATCCCTACGCATATGGTTGGGATGGATGCCTCTCCTGCGAAAGAGGTTACCACGCGTGTGGTTTGAGGATGGCCCGCCATTGCAGGCCTTCCCAAGCCCACCAAGACGCACTCCCTCGGATACACTGCCACAGTCCATGCAACAGAAAAGGGTGACCCCGTCAGGGGTACCAGTCAGGTGAATTTTGTGCCCCTGGGGCTCCTGCACAAGGGCACACAGCATGGAATTGAAACCAATACAATCCGCAAAAGGCTCCGGAGGATCAGAGCGCACACGGATGAGGCACCGCGTGCAGGCCCACAAGCCTCGAATCCACCTGAATTGATGGCCTCGCTCTCTGCGCTGAGACACCAGCGCCCCGCCTAAAGTGGGCACGAGGCTCGGGCCCTCAGGGCCTCCAACCGAAGGAGGGGCAGGAGGCGGGGGGACACCCCGAGGGGGAGGAAAGGGGTTTGGATCTCCCGAGCCAGCCGCGCCCAGCACCTCGTCGGCGGCACTGACGGTGGCGGCTCGGGCGGCACTGCCTCCAGCAGTGGCGGCGCTGGCAGCTCCAGCGCGGGACGAGCCTGCCCTGCCCAATCTCTTGCTGGGCCTGGCAGGCGCAAGGCTTGACCAGTGCAAGAGAGCCTTGGCCACAAAAATCAAGAAACTCTTCAGGCTAGAGGTTCCAAGGCTACACTCAGAAAGCTCTTTCTCAGACGGACGGGAGTGGGTCATCGCAGCCGCCTTCGCAGCCACATCGGCCCAGTGATTTCCTTTGGCCTTGTACCAGTCCTCAGAAAAAAGCGCTCGAAACAATCGGCACTCTGATGACCTTTCACTTTCGTGATAGCAACAGCATCTTTCCTGGGCAGGTTGCTCAGAGCTAGGAGAACAGGTCCAGCGTAGTAAGCCCTTCTGTCTGAAACAACTTCCAAGGGCTTCTCGTTCGCGGCCACAAGCCCTTTGTAGTCAGTACAGAACTCAGACGCCAAACTCGCATTCTTGCAGCTGGCCAAAAAAAACAACATGCTCCGAAGCAGGACTCGCCTGTGGCAACTTAGCTCCAACCTTGCCCGAGAGAATAGCGTAGAGTTCCCCATCGTCCTGGAGACATACACATGTCCAGCCTGCACAATGGTGGACTTTGTGACCTTCCTTAAAACAAGAGCCGGCGTGAAAACACTTGTTGTTTCGGAAAGCCTCCAAGGTGGTCATGTTGGGGTCAACACAGAAGAAACTATAGCTTGCATGTCCAAAACCAGCAGGCGGCCTCAAACTGTTCTCAGGAACCAGCTGAAACCCAAGCGCAAGAGGATTCTGCCTATCTTCACGAGAGACCAAATCAGCCACTCCTTCCTTCAGGAACGCATCCCTTACGCTTATGATAGCGGAGCATCCAAACAAACGGTGGTGAAGACCATCCCGTGGAAACCGACACATAGGGCAATATTCGTCTTCAACATCGTAGCCATATCTAGCTAGTCTCCACTTAGACCACAAGCACTGTGTGACAACAGTTTCCAACATGCTCTTCTCAGCATACGACAAAACACTGCTGGGGGATAACAGCTGGCAGCAGACAGACGTATCCAAGAGCTCTCCAGGGTGTCCAAGCTTCCGAACAGCCTTCAAAGCCAACATGTGCATCCACGCAGCTCTATGATCACAGAGATCTTTTGCGGGAGAGGTGCTGGTTAGGACTACTTCCTGCCACTTGTGGTCCTCCAAGACAAAAGGGGTGACGAACTTCCAGGAAACCCTTAGCAGAGAGACGACGGCAGCCCCAAAAGGTTCTTTGACCTGGTTCCGAGCTTTCGGCGGCCTCGCCAGGATGTTCACGGCGAGCTCCCTCAGCCGTGGCAGCGAGGGTTCGAATCCAGGGCAGGTCGCAGCTTTCCAGACCAGGTTCGTCCAGGTAGTGACAAGACCCAAAGCAAGCCTATTGGTGGGATCCTGCATAACCAGTAGCGACAACGTGCGGGACCTGGATGGGCACGTGCTTCCAACTGTCTGCAGGAAAAAGGACTGCGTTGCTGCAACTTCCCTTGTGTCCAACCCCACCACCTCGGCCCCATAATACCCGAATGGCTGGATCCCTGTGAGGTACACCCGCTGCATGTTGGCGCCTCCCTTCCTTATAGCAACAAGTCTTCTCTTGCGACGATTCAGCTTCTTGATTCTCTCTTTCAAGAAACGAGTGGCACCTTTCCGACATCTGAGCTGGCCTCCCGTGGTGTCCACGCCTAAATCCTAAATTTGCAGCTGAGACTTCTTTAGACTTCATGGACCGAGCCAGATCATGCAGAAAGGGGGGGGGACAGGAGAGAGGAGGGGGTTGGGGGGGGGGCGGCATCATCTCCATCACTATCACCATCACCATCGTCACATCACCATTATCATCATAATCATCATCCGGAGCGCCCCGGATCGGCGGCACTGGCCGGAGGCCACTACAATAACACATTAGGACGACGGAAAAAAAGGGAGACGTGAGGGACGATGTGCATGAGAAGGAAGAAGGCGACGACGACGACGATGGGTAAAGGAGGGAGGGATAATACGAGCAGTAGGGAAACTAGACGACGAGTATGAATAAGGGCCGGGGCAGGAGCAGGATCAGTCTCAACAGGAGCAAAGAGTTCTTACCAAGCGAGAACACTCGAGCTGCGCGCTGAGAGAATTGTGGGTAACACTGCGCCGAGGAGGACGCCGATTCTAGGACGACGCGTTTCCTCGTCCACCACGTCTTCTCCCCTCTCAGTGCAGTGCGTAGCGACAGGCCAAGTACTCATGGGAATGGGCACCCCCTACCATGGTGCTCCCTTGAGGGGCAACGATAGGGGGGATAGGCATAGAGGGGATGCATCGACCTAGAATCGGCGATATTTCGCCGATAGATCGGCGATAGGCCTCCGATACCGAATCCGCACCTTCCTGGGCAGGTTGGGGCTATCGGGGCCCTATCGGCGATCAATGAGCGATTGGGGGTTGATGCATCCCCCTGCCCCCGATCCCTGAGCCGCTCCCATGACATGCCGACGGCCGGGCATCCATGAGCTACTAAGGGCCCATGTATGCAGCACTCAGATACGAGAGGGACCCGTCCCAGAGAAACCTTCCACAAGAAACCCAACCCTGAGACCCCAGGGCGTCCATGGATTTTTGGTGTGGGCACGTCGTGGTTCCCGTGGCAAAACCATCGAAACCATCGAAACCCAGGGCACCCTGGAGGCAGGCAGGGTGTTTCTTGGTATGGGCCCCCACAGCATGTCCACACGAAGAACATCAAGGTACCCTCCCCGAACCGACCTCGATCTCATACGTCGGTCCGACTGCAGCGGCATCGGTACCCGTTCCTCCAACTGAGCCAGGGACGGTGCGACCCCCCTGGGCTACCGCCGCGCGCACCTCTCCCTTTTCAGCCGACTCCGAAGAACACGCAGTGCTGCCTGCTGCCGCACCGCTGCGGCATGAGAGAATCAGCCGACCATGATTAGCATTAAGTCGGGCCTGTCCTCCTACAGGGGGGTTTGGACGAAAAAATAGCAATAATCAAAAACATACCCCCAAATGGTCAAACAAATACGCGACAAATTGTCCCCATTTGAGTTCGCTTAAACTATTTATCCATATTCCTCTTGAAGAGGGACAGGCCCGACGCGAGAATAGCAATAAAACGACCCCCGACCCTGTGGGAGGCGGCCCAAGTTAGGCGGCCACAAACATTAGGGATAGAGGCGCGCTTTCTGCAGGTGTGCCAGACCAAACCGCACAGATGCATCATCGCCGGTGCAACGGCGAGGATCTCAACGAGGCCACGTGCTCCACCTGGTCTTAGGTTTAAGTCGGGCGTGTCCCCCTACAGGGGGATTTTCGATGACAAATCATAAATACTCCCAAAATGCTCCCAAATGGCCAAACAATACCCAAAAAATAGTCCCCAGACTATTTCTGGACTAGTTTTGAATATTCCTCCTGTAGAGGGACAAGCCCGACTTAATCTCAGGTTTAGGGGCTCTCCGATCCTCGGTGAGACCGGTGCCCCACCCTCGCCCGCGCAGCCGCGACACGCGCGCGCGTCGGAACCCGCGCAACGAGCACGTGCGCGAGAGCCTCGCGTCGGCGGCGAGCGAGGGGGTAGGCGAATCGAAACCCGAAAAGGACGGCTGATCGAAGCCCGAAGAGAAGCCCTTTTGTGTCGCCCGCTCCTCTCCTCTCGGTCTTCGCCCTCTCCTCCCGCTCTTGGCATATCGTGTAACCTGCAGGCAGGGCGCTGGCAGAAGGACCACTTTGGGCTCAGGAGAGGGGCTCCACCATCCGACCATCCCAGTTTGGGGAGGGCTCCTCGAAGCCCGAAAAGAGCAGCCTGTGTCCCCACCTGGGGAGGTGAATCGGCCAGTGGGACCCAGGCCACGCCAGTGGGGATGGGGATCGGTTGAACGATGCTCCCGGTCCCTCGCCCCCTTCCGCTGACGTTGCTCACTGCTCGGCGGCGAGCCCGGGGGGGAAGCGAGAAGGGGCGGGCCTTCTCAAGACGTAGAGAACTCCTCAGAGGGCGCGGCGGCTTCTGAGAAGTCCCGCCACTTTTCTGAGAAAGCCTCCTCCTTCTCAGTCCCCCCTCGCTCGCCGACGGATCTTGGAGCGACATGTCGAACGGCGGCAGGATCTGAAAGATCAACAAATCGGCTGCATGCAAGAGTGACCCTGTCTTACGGTAAGAAGGACCTTTGGTGCGCGGCGTTTTGGGGGCCCGCGGGGAATCAGACACGGGCGCGCAAGACGCTACTATCGTATCGCGCTCGGCGATCGGGGACCCCAATGGGCCCGCACCAAAGGTCACTCCGGCGAAGGGTCACTCTTACGTGCAGTCGATCCACAGGCACCGATTCTGCTGCTCCCCAGACCTCTCCTGGGGTGCGCTCTGACCAGAAGCTCGAGGCGAGCCCAACAGTGGAGACGAGGGCCTCCTCCGAGGTCCATCATGAGGAAAACGACGCAAGGGCAGCGGCATCGGTGCCCTGAGACCCTCAATAGTTTTGGGGGGGCCAGATCGTCCGGGGAGGTTACCTGTAGTCCGGCGGGTGGGCACCAATAGTCCCAGGGGGGGGACCAATAGCCTGGGGCGGGGGACGAATCGCCCGGGGGGGGCAGCACTTGTCGACTGGAGGGGTGGCCTGTCGCGCGCGCGGGGGCAGCCTGGGGGGCACCAGTAGTCCGGGAGGTCCAATAGTCTGGGTGGGGGGGGCCGCTCGTCGGGGGGGGGGGGCTTGGACGCCCCCCCCCTTGGCTAAAGAAAGGAGCACCGAAAACCAAAAAGGTTGCTGGAAACCAAAGATACGCCAAAAACCTCAGGAGCACCGAACCCCAAAGGAGCGCCAAAAACCAAAGGGGCGCCGGAAACCAAAAGCGCGCCGACAACCAACAGGGGCCGAAAACCAAAAGAGCGCCGAAAAGCAACGGGGCGCCGAAAACCCAAAGGCGCCGAACACCAAACGAATGCCGAAAACCAAAGCGGCACCGAAAACCGAAAAATGCTCCGAAAACCGAAAGCGCACCGACAACCAAAGAGACGGCGAAAACCAAAAGAGCGCAGAAAATCAGAGAAGCGTCGAACACCAAAAGGGCGCCGAAAATCCAAGAGCACCGAGACCCAAAATGGCGCAAAAAACCAAAAAAGCGGCCGAACCTGAGAAGGACTCCGGAAACCAAAGGAGCGCCGAAAACCAATGGAGAGCCGACAACCAAAAGGTCGCCAAACACCAAAAGAGCACCGAAAACCAGAACCATGCCGAAAACCAAAAGAGCGCCGAAAACAAGAACACCGAAAATCAAAACAGCGCCGAAAACCAATGGAGCGCCGCGCCGAACACCGAAGGGGCGTCGAAAACCACAAGGACGCCGAAAACCAACGGAGCCGCGACAATCACATGAGCGCCGAAAACCAAAGGAGCGCCGAAAACCGAGGGAACACCGAAAACCAAAAGGATAACGAAAACCAGCAAAGCGCCGACCGCAAAAAGGCGCGCCAAAAACCGAAGATGCACCAGCAACCGAAAGGACACCCCAAACCAAAAGGACACCGAACACCAAAGGAGCACCGAAAACCAAGAGGGCGCCAAAAACCAAAGGAACGCCGAACACCCAAGGGGTGCCAAAAACCAACAGAAACTTTCTAAAAACCCAAGGGGCGCCGAAAACCAAAGATGCGCCGAAAACCAAAGGCGCCGAAAAAACGAAGAGGCGCCGAAAACAACAGAAGCTCCGAAGACGGACAGGGCGCCGAATACTACAAGGGCCCCGAAAACCAAATGGGCGTTAAAAACCGCAGGAACGCCGAAAACCAAAAGGGCGCCGACAAAAAAAAGGCGCGGAAAACCAAAGGAGCGCCGAAAACCGACAATGCGCCGAAAGCCAAAAGGGCGCCGAAAGCCAAAGGCGCGCTAATAACTAAAGGGCATCGAAATCCAAGGGGCGACAAAGACGAAAGGCGCGCAGACAGCCGAACGGCGCCCAAAACCAAAGGGAAACCAAAAAGCGCCGAACACCAAAAAGGCGCCGAAAAATAAAGGGGCGCCCAAAACCACAAGGGCGCCGAAAACCAAGACGCCAAAAAGCAAATGAGCGCCGACAAAGAAAAACCGAAAACCAAAGGAGCGCCGAAAACCAAGGAAGCGCTGAAGGCCCAAAACGTGCCGAAAGCCAAAAGGGCGTCGAAAACCGCAAGTACGCTGCAAACAAACGGGGCGCCGACAACCAGCCAAGGCCCTTCAGCTGGAAAAACGAAAGAAAAGTAGCTTCGACCCCCCCCTTCAGCCAGGGCCCTCTGGCTGGAAAAGCCAACCGAAGAGGGGGAGGGGGGGAGCTTCGGAAGACTCTCCTTTGGAAAGGAGAGCCCCGGCTTACCCCAGGCTCCGAAGAGGCGGAGGGGCAGCTTCCACGCCCCCCCCTGTTTAGCCAGGGGCCCCCGCCACCCTTGTAGTGAGAAATGGGCCATGAACGCGCGCTCTCTCTGCCTCTCTTTCTCTCTCTCTCTCTCTCTATGTATGGGTACATAGGTGTATAAATATATATATATATATATATATAGATAGATAGATAGATAGATAGATAGATCTATAAGCAAATGCGAAAAACAGGATGCAGATGAATGAGGATTTGAGCAGGAACCGACCGTCCTGGCATTCCTACGGGCCTACAGCGACATTCTCTTAGAACCAAAAAGAAGTTAAGAACAAAACAACGTTCTGAGAGCATAAGCCCGACGAATCAAATCAAGACGGTCTCAGCCAGAACCATTCGAAGAACATCTCGTGCAAACCACAGAACAGTTCCTTAGAACATTCCCTGGTGGGCCTATAGGCGAGCCAGGACGCTTCGGCTCGCAACTGCGTGAAGGATGGGTGAGGACGAGCATGAAAAAGGGAGCGCACGATCTGTGGTTTAGCCCGCCAGGTCGCCAGGGCAGCTGTGCAACAGCTCCATGACCTTGGAAGGCGGAGAGAGCCCCAGGGCGGCGCAAGGGGTCTCCAGAGAAAGTCGCCCTCGCCTTCCTACTATACTGACCTTCCAGGCCCTGCTACTCCTGCTGCTGCAGCTCCTGCTATCCTCCTCCTCCTCCTCCTCCTCATCCTCCTCCTCCTCCTCCTCCTCCTCCCCGTCCTGCCCCTGCCCCTCTTCCTCCTCCCCCTCCTCCTCATCCTCCGCCTCCTGCCCCTCACGTCCTCCACCTGCAACTCTTGCCGCTACTGATTATTTGGCGCCCTCGCCTGCTGACTTCCCTGCCGCTCGCCCTCCTGCTCCCCCTGCTCCCCCTGCTCCCCCTGCTCCTCCCTCTCCTCCTGCCCAGCCTCCGTCCAGAGCGTTTTGCGCTCGGTCTGCCTGGGCGGCCCGTTTTCGCCGCACCCTGGCCGCCTGCCCGCGTTCAGCGGGCGGCGGTGGCGGGCGGGGCGGTCTCGGGGGCCTCTTGGCCTGTCTTGGAGCGCAAGGGGAATTGCTGATGTCTGCCCCTTGGGGCCCTCGTGGAAGTCATCTTGGGGCGTTTTGGAGACCTCTTGAGCCGCCAGGAGGTCACCCAGACGGCCGCACGCTTGTGGATGCCAGGACAGTGGACACGCTAACAATGCCATCGTTGAGTTAAAGATGTGTTAAAAGGTGTAAAGCATGTAAACCATGTTCTAAACATGTTTCGAACATGTTTTTACATATTTAAAACATGCGTAAGCCATGTTTTAGCCATCTGGAAATTACTTGGCAGCCTTTTTTCCCCTCCAGTGGTCGCCCTCCACAACCGCACGCCACAGCGCCTCGCTCCGCCCCGCTCGGCGCCGGAGGCTGCGGGCGGCGGGGGGCGGAGGCCCCGCGGGGCACTCGCGGGGCACCACGGCGAGCACGGGGCCGACCTGGGCGATGCGGGCGCCGCTGGGCCCACAGCCCCGCTGAGAGGGGCAGAACCTCCACCCCGAGGAGAACCACCCCGACACGCGACGCCGCGCGGTAAACGGACCCACAGCAGGACTCGACCAGGGCATGGGCTGCTTCGGGAGGGCCCGGGGCCGTTGAGGAAACGCCCATTGTCTGGCCCCGGGTGGTTTTTCCTCCCTTGTCCCATGGCCCATGGGGCGCGGCGGCCCCGCCGAGAGGTGGCGGCCCGACCTAAGCGTGCGCTGCCACAAGAGCCTGCGGCCTCGCCAGTACCCGCGCGAGCCGCGAGATCTGCCAGGCGTGCGGCAGGCACAACCCATGGCAGGCCCACCACCACAAGGGGTGCCCGCCAGCCCGCGGGTGGTCGCGCCTCGCTCGTCACGGCCTCGTTCAACTGGTGCTGACCTGTCCTCCTCGGGCTTCTGCTGGTGCCGACGGGGAGGCCATGGACACCAGCTCCAACGGCACCGAGTCCCACGCGGTGGCCAAGTGCAAGCGCGCGCTCAAAGCCTTCCGCGGGATCCACGACGACATGCACCCGCTGATGGTCGCCGCCAGGACAGAGCTCGCCCAAGCCATCACCGCCGAGCGCACGACCATGGCGCCCGAGGACGTGCTCCGCTCGGCCCTCGACCGCCAGGGTACCAGGGAGGCGGAGCGAGCCAAGCTCCAGGCGGAGGTCGACGGCTTCACGCAGCAGCTCGAGGCGGCCAACGCGAAACTCTCAAGCAGCAGTTGGTGGAATCGAGCGCGGAGGTGGCACAAACCAACACGCCCCAGTAACGAAGCTGCGACCGTCAGTGACGCAGCTGCGACCCATCCCAAGCTGGCCAACACGCCCCAATGACGCAGCTGCGACAGTCGCCTCGCTTCAGAGGCTCCCCCAGAACGCATGCCACTTCGACCAGGGCGGCGAGGGCCGCAACGTCGTCGGCGGCTCGATCCTGGAGCAGCTGGCGGGCCACGTCCAGCGGCTCGTCGCGGCGGCGCCGCCTCTTCCAGACCCTGGGACGCCAGCTGCTTTTCCTCCGCGGGTGGGCAACCCGCCAGAGCCAGCGTCGCCCAAGCAGCACCTGCAGCAGCTCCAGCAGCAGCAACAGCGGCGGCTTGGGAGTATGCAAGCAACACGTAGACGTGGACGTCGGGGCGCCCGCAAGGTCACGACAAGCGCGGATACCTTCAATGGCTACTCCCGGAAAACATGCCATCAATGTCTGATGGAGGGTGCGGGGTACGCCAAAGCAGCCACCGTGCAAGGGTTGCGCCACGACAGCGAGACGTTGAACCGAGCGCGCATATGGGCTACGCGACATGGATGGCAGCCATCCAGAAGCCTGTACAGGTGGCTGGAGTCAAAACTACCGAGCGTGGGCGTGGGGTCTTTGTCAGGACGCATGTGGACCCTCTACTGCTTAACGGAGATGGCGGCGTCACTAACGGTTATCATGCGTTCGTGGGCTGTGGCAACGAGAGTGAACATGGGAACCCCTTGAGGTATGATCGTGGGGTCGGCCTACCTCGAGTCAGTCTAGAGAACGACTACCTCACCATGAACTACCACAAGCTGGTGCTCATCGCGAAATGCACGCGCTACTACTCGACCCTATTCGCGTTCGCAGGAGATCAGAATGCGGGGCCTCACCTTCTGGGCGAGCTGGGTCTTTCTCCAGGCGATACCTGCGGTAGTCGTCGCTTCCGTCGGCTCGGGGTCTTGCAGGGCGGCGACGACTGGCACCTGCCGAACCATCCACTACTGCTTGACCTCGCACGACTTCGTCACAGCGTGTAGCAGTCCGCGAGCCCTTGACATATGAGCTCCACGGCCTCACTACCCTGTGCGTTTCGACTTGGGCGCAAGGCCGCGCGCGCACCAGCAGCGTCACCTGCGGGCGTCCAAGCCTTTCCCAAAGCAGACCCCCAAGTACATTGGTGCACATCCGCCCCATGGGCCACCGATTGCTCAGCCGTGCATGGACGTTGTCCAGAAGGAAGCGGCCTGTGGACGGACAGAGGACGGGCCTGACGCTCAAGCGCACTTCGATGAGATGCATGCGACCTCCGCCTCCTTCATCGAGCGCGACCTCTGCAACAAATACTTGCTGAAGGAACCCGACCAATATTGTCGGCCAAAGGGAGCGGCCTACATGCGTGGGGAACCCACAAGGAAACGTACGCGCCCAGCTGTGTGCATGAACGCGGCCCCTCGGTCTGCGAGACTGGCCGAGTGGTGCGAACATTCGGGCAACGCGTACTCTCGAAACCAGCTTGGACTCACACACGTGTGCGTCCTCCTTTCGCTCCCGAATGCGTCTGGCGCCCAGGGGGAAGACCCCCGCAGCATGGCCGCCCCGCGGCAGGTTCGGAGGCTCGCTGCCTGCGCAAGCTCTCCCTGCGCCCTTCCAACACCTTGTGGCCGCGTTGGGGGCCCAGGGAATATGCACCACCACCGCGTCGATTCCTCCTCCCTCCTCTGCCCTCCTCTTCTTCTCCTCTCTCCTGGGAGAGGGAGGCGAAGCGATGCGAGCGCGCGGTTCCGCCGGGAGCGGGGCCCTTTAGGGCCTGCGCGGGGGGGCCAGGGCCGTCAATGCTTGTACACCCTACGAAATGCTTAAGAAATCATGGGTTAAGAAATTCATAATCTCAGAACTTTAATAAAAACCCAAAATTTCTTTTCAAATCTTAAGAATTACAGTGAAACATTAAGAATAGTCGAGAGTCTGGACGAAAAATTAAGTTTTCTTAAGCATCGCCTAAGGTGTAGTCCTTGTGTGCCGAAGTCGGGGTGCTGAGTTATGAACTGGTGGACGCTGGAAGTCAAGTGGGAGAGGGGGGGGGTGAGGGAGGTGGTGGTGGTGTCGATCTTTGGGCCCCCCACGCGCGGCGGAGCGGGCATTGCGGGGACCTCGGATGGGCCCGGCGGGCCAGGACCCTTCGGCGACGACGCCGCCACGACGCTCACTCCGCCCAGGGGGCCCAACTGTTCCAACGGGCAGGGCCAGTCCCTCCTCCTCATCCAGCTCCTCCTCCTCCTCCTCCTCCTCTTTCTCCTCCTCCTTTTCCTCTTCCTCCTCCTCCTCCTCCTCCTCCTCCTCCTCCTCCTCCTCCATGCGGGCGAGACGACGATTTATTCTTCGCGGCGGCCATGGCCCACGCGGCGACGGCAGACGGCCACGCGGAGGCCCTCGAGCGAGTGGCGGCTTCCAAGCGCACCAACAGCGTCCACCAGTGGGCCCAGGACCCGATGATCACAGGAGCCGGTCCAGTCTTCGGCATGACTCAGCCCAAGTGCTGGGCGCACGACGAGGTCGACGGGTTCGGCATCCGCGCCGCCCTATCGCAGGTATGCACTTTTGGCGCGACATCTGGGAGGGTGATATCGTCTCGGCACAAGGGAAACGACCGCGAACGGTGCCCCTGATGCTCCGTGAGCCGATCGCAAAAGGGCACCATGTTGAGAGTCCCGGAAGGTCTGCATCTTTCTCGCAAGCAAGGGGGCACTGCTGTCCGCGCGGGGCAGTTTGAAGGCATATTTCAAATCAAATTGCGCGGCGCGCTTGTCACGGCAAGAACTTGCCGCGACGCCACGAGCTGCTCTGACGGCACTTCCCGCGTCGCAGTGCACTGGCCCCCTCGGCGAGGCAATAAGAAGTTTTGCAGTGGGCACTGATAGATAGGATGGGGATTCTGCGCCACGCCGACGCAGGAAATATACAAATCCGGGGCGGGGTCAACGAAATCGAAATAATGAACAGTCTGTTGGCGAAGGAGAGCAGGCAAGGGTTCTGCGGGAGAGCCAAGGGGAAATATGCGGATCCTGCGAAAAGGGCCCAGAGAGAACACATAACAATACGATGAGAGGCCCCGGAGAGCAAAACTAAGATGCTTTAAGGAAAGGAGAATGCACGCACCAGCGTCCGGAGACGGGGCGCGGGATGGGGCGGGGTGCGAGCGGTGGCCCCCGGGCCCTTTGCCCCGCGCTGACGAAGCGGGCTCGCTGGCCGCCGCAGTGGCCCCGGGACGCATGCGCAATGGATAAAAGGACCTGGCGGGCCGCCGCGCGCGCTGCGGCACTGGCCGAGGCCGCGCGGGGGAGAGAACCAATGCGCGAGGGGGCGGGGCGCCGCGCGCGCGCGACGGCCTTGGCCGATTCGGCGCGTCGAAATAAAATGCGCGACGCGCCAAGGCAGCCGCGGGCTCGGAAGCCTCCGCCCACCGCGCGCGGGGAATAACACATTTGCGCGGAGTTGGGGGGAGGCTGCCCAATTTTGCGCGACAAGAAACAGCACGTGGCGGGCCGGGAACGCCGCGCGCGGGGCGGCTCAAGCGAATCGCGGAGGGAAAGACGCCGCGCGCGAGGGGCCTGGGCCGCCGCCATGGCGGCCCTTGCCCATGCGAACAACATGCGGCAACGCGCGCGGGGGGCCAGGGAAGCCGCTCGCGCGGCGCCCTGGCCAACGCCGACCAAAGCAAACCAGGTAGCGAAGGTGCATGCGCGGGGGGCGGTGTCGCCGCGGCGGCGGCCAGCGAGCGCGGGGCAACGCTGGCCCGGTCTGCGCGGGGAACACAACGCGCGCAGTGGCAGGGCAGGACGTCGGGGGTCTGGGAAGCCGAGGTAGTAATGTTCGCACCTCCCATCCCAAACAGAAGATCCTGCAGAGCCCCCGCGGGGGCTTGTGACCCTCCTCGTTCCCCCAGCCTCCGCACTCACAGGTGCGGCAGGTCGCATTAGTTCTCGGGTCGCGACTCGTATCTCGCTCGTCCTCTTTCTGATCAGCCCCTGTTGCCAGCTGCTGCTGCTGGTTATCCATTCCCTTCTCCTCCCGTTGCTCCACCTGCTTCTCGATATGTGCACCACCCACCATTATCCTCCTCTCGCTGTGGATCCTCCTCCAGCTGCCACACATCATCGTCATCAACATCGTAACCATGCATCACCGGCCATCAGCATCATCTCACCAGCAGCAGCATCATCAGCAGCAACATCAGCATCGGCATCAGCATCTTCATCCTCATGCTCATCACCACTACCACCATCGCCATCACCATCATCAACATCATCAGCATCATCAGCATCACCGCCACCATCGTCATCCTCATCCTCCTCCTCATCATCCTCCTCCTCCTCCTCATCATCATCATCATCATCAACATCATCATCTCCGTAATCATACCCATATTTACCACCATCATCATCATCATCATCATCATCATCATCATCATCCTCATCATCATCATCATCATCATCATCAGCATCATCATCATGATCATCACAACCATCATCATCATCATAATAATCATAATCATCGTTCTTATCATCACCATGAGCATCATCTGAACCATCATCTCAACATCGTCATTATCCTCTACATCAGCATCATCAGCATCATCAACACCGTCAGCACATCAGCATCGTCAACACCGTCAGCATCATCAGCATCATCAGCATCCTCATCAGCACCCTCCCCAAAAGGCGGCTGGTGCCGCCTCGTTCGGCGGCGGAAATCCGCGATTTCCCATGGAAACGGGACCCGTCGCTAATCCACGCCCCCTTAATCCATGTTTGCGATCGCCTGATCGAATCAGCAACATAGCAATCACCACATAAACAGAAAACTTTTGGCGATCCGCGCGGATTCCTTGGATCCGCGGCGGACCCCCCTCCCTGGAGCGCGGAGCGCGCCAGGGGCGTCGCCGGAGGCGCCGCCAGGGGGCCCAGGCGCGAATCCAAGAAATCCGCGCGGAGCGCCACAAGTTTATGTTTATGTCGCTTCTTCTTCTTCTTCTTCTTCTTATTCTTCTTGTTCTTCGATAGTAATCATCGCACGCACCAACATCGTCCGCCTCCAACTCCACATCATCACGCTGCACTGGGCCTGGGCTCCCCAATCAGCCAGCGACCGAGCGGAGCATGCCGTCGGTTGCTCCTCCCTGGTGCTCCTGGTACTCCTGGGCCCTCGCCTCGAACAACTCCCTGCCGGGCGTTTCGGCCAGGGTCGCGGCTTCCTCCCCCCCGACCTCAACCCCAACCTTTTCCTTCTCCTCGTCCTCGTCGTCGACGTCATCATCATCATCATCATCATCATCATCATCATCATCATCATCATCATCATCATCATCATCATCATCATCATCATCATCATCATCATCATCATCATCATCATCGTCATCGTCATCGTCATCGTCATCATCGACATCGACATCATCATCATCATCATCATCATCATCATCATCATCAGCATCAGCAGCAGCAGCATCAACATCATCATCAGCATCATGATCGTCCTCATCATCACCAGCATCATCATCATGATCCTCATCTTCTTCCTCATCCTCATCCTCATCCTCATAATCAGCATCAGCATCAGCATCATCATCACCACCAGCACCAGCATCATAATCATTATCATCAGCATCCTCAACAGCAGCAGGAGCAGCAGCATCCGCATCAACATCATCAGCATTATCATGAGGAGCAGCAGCAGCAACAGCATCATCATCATCCTCGTCGTTGTCATCAGCATCGTCATCATCAGCATCATGATCATCATCCTCAACATCATCATCATCATCATCATCATCATCATCATCATCATCATCAACCTCATCTTCACCATCATCATCATCATCATCTTCTTCATCATCATCATCATCATCAGCATCATCAGCATCATCAGCATCATCAGCATCATCAGCATCATCAGCATCATCATCATCATCATCATCATCAATAGCGATATCAATATCAAAATCATCATCATGCTGGCCCCTGGCTCCTGGCTCACGGCTCCCAGTTCCCGACTCCTCTTCCTCGCTCCCCTCTCGTCCCGCCTTCATACCTTCCCCCCGCCCTGCACCATGTTGTCTTCCGCCTCCCGCTCCCTGTCTCCAGATTCCCTCCTCCCCCCCACTGCATCCACACCGTCAGCCCCCTCCTGGAGGGGCCCTGGGACACACAAATAAATACACACAAATAACAGGATCCCCCATATTTTCCCATATTTTCTGGGTTTTCGTCTTCCCCCCCGCTTCCCATAGTTTCTTATATTTTCCTGGGAATCGACGATTGATTGTGTCTGTGTGTTTTTTCCCCTCCTGAATCCACACCGTCCGCCCCCTTCGCCACTTCTGCCTTAGACGGCACGGGGGCAGCTGGGCAGGTCTCCGAAAACCCGCGGCGCGGAGGAAGCCCCGGAGCCTTTGAATGCTCTCCGTCGCCCCCTCTCCCCGTGTTCCCCCCCCACCCCCCTCCGGCTGCTGCCTACGCTTATGTTGCTCCCATCGTGCGTAAGGACCACATCCCAGAAATAATTTCGAGCACCGGGGAAAGTGTCGAAGGAGTGTCGAAACCGTGTCTCCGAGGGCCTGACACCATAAAAACCCTCAAGTTTTGGTACTTTCCTGGCGATCGAAATTCTTTCTGGCGATCAAGGCTAAGAGTTGGGACATCACAAGCCTACGGCGGACTTGGTCGTAGACCTGAAGCCGTCCCCAGCCCTGCCCCGAAAAGTATGTGGGGACGCAGGGCCGGTTTCAAGGCTGAACCTGAACGGTATTTCTCGTTTTCGCTTTGTTTTAGTTTTCCCTCGCCTTCGTCTCGAATCCTCCTCTACCGCAAAACGGAGTCGAAACGAGAAAAGCCCACGAGATCGCCCAAAAACACCGCTTAGGTCCAGCCCTGCCCCCTCCTCCTCCTCCTACGCCCCTTGCCCTTCTCCATGCTGTTAGGAGGCAACTACTGGGAGGTCTTCGTCGGAAAAATTACGGAGGATTAAGCCCCATTTGGGAGCTGTTACGCCGGAATGGGCCTCGGACTAAGCAGGATGAGGCCAAATTCACTAATTAAACGGGATTAAGCCGGATTGATTAGACCGGATTGAGCCGGATTTCGGACCAGGGCTAGATCAGAGTTTGACCTCCCAGGAGTCGCATCCGAAATGCTGCTCTCCCCCGTCGCATGCACACCCCAGACGTGTCCGCACGTCGGGGGCCGGGCGTGTGGCCCGAGGCCTCCCTCGACGCTTTGGGACCCTGCAGCTCGGCACCTGCCACAGCTTCACTATCGGGGAACAAAAAAAATGGGCATAGACATAAAAACTCGAGTTTGGGGGTACTTTCCTGGCGCTCGAAAATCTTTCTGGTGATCCAGGCTGAAGTAGGCTGGAACATCATGAGCAAAGGCCAGATCCACATTCTGAGAATCACCCGCCCGCCATCCGTGAATAGGGGAACAAAAAGTGGCATAAACATAAAAACTCGGAGGTCCGCGCGGATATCCCGGATCGGCGCTGGGGCCCCCCGGCGGCGCCTCCGGCGCCGCCCCTGGCGCGCTCCGCGCGCCAGGGAAAGGGGTCCAGCGCCGATCCGGGATATCCGCGCGGACCTCCGAGTTTTTATGTTTATGCCACTTTTTGTTCCCCTATTCACGGATGGCGGGCGGGTGATTCTCAGAATGTGGATCTGGCATCTGGCCTTTGCTCATGATGTTCCAGCCTACTTCAGCCTGGATCACCAGAAAGAATTTCGAGCGCCAGGAAAGTACCCCCAAACTCGAGGGTTTTCGCGTGCCCGGCCCTAGGAGACACTCGTCCGACACTCCTTCGACACTTTGCCGGGTGCTCGAAATTATTCCTGGGATGTGGTCCTTAAGTGTGATAGGAGAAACATAAATAAGCCTCTGCGCGCCACGCAGATCTGTTTTAAATCCGCCGACCCGGTCGGCGTGTGTGAGGCTTTCTCGTTTGAGTCGACGTCGTCGTCGTCGTTGTCGCTGGCGCCGCTCCTCCCTGTCCCTGTCCTTGGGCCCTCCCGTTCGAACGGTCCAGCGAGGGAGAAATCGAGCAACGTCGTACTCGAATCGAACGGTTGGTCCCTTCCCCGCCGAGGGTCGGCGGCGACAATAAGGGCGAATAGCCCAGGGGCGGGCATTACACGTATTCGCCCGGGAGCCTGGTCGAAGACATAGATCATCGGCGCCCCTGAATACATGTTTTTTGCTCTCCCCTGGGCTACAGTCGGCCTTGATTGGACAGGACACGCGAGAGGACACAAGACCCTTCCGAGTGCCACATCGGCATAGGAGTGTAGGAAGGCACGTGTTGCGAGGCACAGGACTTGAGGGTACCCTTGAGCTGGCAGGGTCGACCTACTAATCCGGGCCGACTGTATTCGCCCCTATCGTCGCCTCTGGGGGGGGGGATCCTGGGGAAGTCCTGGCGAAGGGTCCCAGGGAGGTGGGCTCAGGGGTGGGTAAAGGGGGGGGGGGTCCGGGGGATTGCGACCCTCCCCCCCCCTTCCGCGAGGGAGCACCCCTCCCTGGCAGGAGCCTACCTCCTCGATCCCTTGCCTCCCCGACACCTCCGACTCCCCCCTCGGGGTCGGCGGCAACGGCAGCGAGGCCTGCACAATTTCTGTAGCCAGTGTCTGCAGCAGGCTCACCGATGGAGGGCCGGGCTGCTTTCCAGATGTGGCTCTCGCCCTAGCGTTACGTCGGGCCTGTCCCCCTACAGGGGGATTTTCGACGAATTGTTGAACCCAAAACAATCAAAAAACAGCCCAACAAAAAGTCTGGGGACTATTTTTTGAATATTTGTTGGCCTTTGGGGGGCATTTTTGGGGTATGTCTTATTTTTCGTCGAAAATCCCCCTAGAGGGGGACAGGCCCGACATAACCCTAGCGCCGCGCACATTCGACTTGAAACTTTGCAGCAGCCATTCGAACCTGTCGCCACCTCTGACTGAGACCCGGGCCGGGCGAAAGGGGGGATAGCAAAGGGGGGTTTTGAGAATCAGCTCACGTAGCTGATTTTCCCTGCGGCTCCCGGCGCCGGAAGGCGCCCATGTATCGAGGAATGGGCCAGGCGGCGGGGCCGAAACCAGCTGCATGCAGCAAACTTCGTACCTCTCCCTTTCCCTATCCCCATTTTGGCGAATGCAATTAATGCCCTGTAATGCCCCATTCGCGAGGGAGAGGAGGGAGGACAGGAGGGAAGACAGGAGGGAGGACAGGAGGGAGGGGGATAGAGGAGGGGGAGGAGGAGGAGGAGGAAGAGGAAGGAGGAGGGAGGAGGATGGAGGGATAGAGGAGGAGGAGGAGGAGGAGGAGGAGGAGGAGGAGGAGGAGGAGGAGGAGGAGGAGGAGGAGGAGGAAGGAGGAGGATGGAGGAGGAGAGGATGGAGGAGGAGGATGAGGAGGACGAGGAGGAGGAGGAGGAGTAGGAGGATGGAGGGGGGGGGAAGGGGTAGGAGCTCCCGGGCGACAGGTGGTCTAACGAGGGTCTCCGTCCTCTTCCACAACCCCACTTCCCTTCGGGGAGGGGAACCCTCCCCCTCTCCTCCCTGAGGTTTTTTGTGAGGGGGACCGAGGTGTCAGAGTCTCGTTTCGGCCCCTGGGACGGCCAATTTTGACATCCCTCACGAGGATCGTGGCCTCCGAGGGGGGGAGGCAAATCGAGGACCCCCCCTCTGTTGACCGACCGCCTCCAAGATGACCCCAAGAGGCCCTCCAGGGCTCCCAACAGGCCCCCAAGAGAGCTCCAAGAGCGCCCCAAGAGGCCTCCAAGTGGCACCCGAAAGGCACGCAAGAGGCCCCCGAGCGGCCTCAGCGAGCCCAAGATGACCTTCAAGATGGCTCAAGATAGCCCAAGCTGGCTGAAGATGGCTCCCAAGATGCTCCAAGAGGCCCCACGACCGCTCCAAGACGGCTCAAGACGGCCACAGAGCCTGCCCAGGAGGCCGCCACGAAGCCCAAATCCTTTGACTTTGCGTGTCTCTTCCTCTCTCCCCCCGTCAGCTCTCATGGGCATCGTTTCTGGATGGGCTGGTGGGGATACTTTTTGAAACGCAGGCGCACGAATCAGGTCGGACGCCCGAGAAGCAGGGGCTGGTGGGGAGATGCGAAGCGTCAAGAATATAATGCGTCGCAGCGGGGTGCGGAACACAAAGGAATCTAGGACATCCTGGACACATGGGAAATCCCGGGACGTGTCATTACCATGACCTCTTGCTCCTCTGATTCATGCTTGCGGAATGTCTGCTTTCTTCGGGCCCCGTCCTCGTCTCCGCCCTCGCCTCCTTGCTCTCTCGCCCCGTGCCTGTACTGGCACCCGGTGCAGCCCACCGCTCGCTTTGACCCGGGCGTGACCGCCCCGCACACCTTGGCGCCCGCAGACCAACAAAAACGTGGCTTCCCCGAGCCGCGCCCGCCGCCGCGCCTCGCGGTGGCCCGTGCGGCGGCGGCGCCGCGGCGCCCGCTGCGGGCGGGGGGCGCCGAGGTTTCCCGGCAGTGCGCGGAGCCGTGCGCTCCGCTGGCGGCCGGGCCGACGCCTCGCCACCCCGCGCGCGGGCGGCGGCGGAAGCAGCCCGCGGACGGCTGCAGATCGAGGCGGACAGTCCTGGGCGGGGGAGGCGGCGACAGGCAGCCGAACATGTGCTCAAGAGAGTTGTCGTTGAAAAGAGATCTGGGCCGGCTTCCAAGGCTGCAGCAGGGGCGGGCAGTCCTGGGCGGGGGCGGCGACGACATGTAGTCAACCCGCGCGGTGAGGATGCGCGGTAAGGATGCAAGGGCCCTGGGCGCCCAATTCGAAGCTCTGCGAGCGGGGCGCGGCCAACGAACGGGGCGAAGGATGAAACCGAGGGGGCAAGAATGCAAGGGTACCCTTGGGAAGGCTGTCCATCCTTACTATGCGGATTGACTGTACAGCCGAACATGTGCTCAAGAAAGTTATCGTTGAAGAAATCCGGGCCAGCTTCCAAGAGGCTCCTTGAAAATCAAGCCCGGGCATAATTTTTGTCCACGCTGGGGGGACGCACGTCCTCGAGAAACTGGGCCAGCTTTCTAGCAAGTTGGTTGGGAGACGTTTCGGGGATGGACAGAACCCCCTTTAGTAAAACGTGGTTTAGTGAAAACGACCTGAGGCCCAAACCTGGCGGGCGCAAGCCTGGAAAATAACGGCCACGGCGCCCTCACGAAAACCGAAAACGGACAATTCACTAATCGACGTGTCACTGTTGGGGGTTCTGTCCACCCCCGAACGTTGCATCAGACGCCCAACCGTACGTCCAGAAGGACGGCCCCACGAGAGCACGGCCGGTGGGCCAGAGCCCAGGATCCGCTTTCGATCCCTGTGAGGCACGGGCGCGGAGTATCGGGGAGGTGGAGGGATAGCCCCGACGAGCGGGCACTGCGAGTGTCTGGGGGCTCCCCTACCCCGCTTCGACGAGGCTCCTGGGCGAAGACGTGCGGTGGGTGCACGCCCCGGGGCTGTCCACCCCTCGACTACACGCAAGAGCGTCCCTTGGTAAGAATGACCTTTGGTGCGCGGCTCAGTGAGGGCCGCGGGGGGACCAAACACGTGCGCGCAAGACGCCAATACCGCATCGCGCTCGGCGATCGGGGGGCCCCATTGGGCCCGCCCCGAAGGCCACTCCGGCGAAAGGTCACTCCTACGTGCAGCCGAACCCCTCCTGCCTCAGTCGAGCCCGCCGTGGCGATGCTGCTGGACGGGGCTAGGGGAACAAAAAAAACATAAACATAAAGACTCAGAGGTCCGCGCGGATTTCTCGGATCGGCGCTGGACCCCACTCCCTGGCGCGCGGAGCGCGCCAGGGGCGGCGCCAGAGGCGCCGCCGGGGGGCCCCAGCGCCGATCCGAGAAATCCGCGCGGACCTCAGAGTTTTTATGTTTATGCCACTCTTTGTTCCCCTTGGGGCGCCCTCGGTGGAGCCCGCGGCGCCGGCCGCTGCCGGCGCAGCGGCGGTGGTGGCGGGCTGGCGGGCGGCGCGGAGGCTGCGCTCTCGGCCGCGGAGCTTGGCGCGGCGGCGCTGCAGAGGCCGCAGGGCGGGGGGCCCCACCGCGAGCGACGGCGCCGGCGCCCTCGTCGGCGCAGGCGCGCGGTGCGCAGCGGAGTGCCACGGCGCGAGCGAGCGAGGCGCCGACGCTGGCCCCTGCGGCGCAGCGCGTGTGCCCGAGCCCGTCTTGACTTCCTGCCAGACCACCCCAACCCAACCCGAAGACCCGAAGCTGACCCGAACTTCGGGTGGGGCGGGGGGTTCGGGAGCGGCCAAAAGGGGGGTGTCCAAGAGGGGGGGTGCAAATCATGACGGGCGGCATGTGCGCGGCCCAGCGGGGGGGCCGGGGACGTAATGAATCAAGCAGAGGTGCCCTGAGATCTGGGAAGATATCATGGCCCCCGCCATGATATCCACCCCCCCCTAGTCCCTAGTCATCACCCCCCTCTTTTCCGCCCCCGAGGGGTGCGGGTTCCATGCTTTTTCCATGTTCCCCGAGCACTCCCCCCGGAAATGGAGGGCAAATTGGAGCCTTCGGGTTGGGTTGGGGTGGTTTGGTAGGTGGTGACGTCTGGGCGAGGCTGGGGATCGATCCCGACCGGCCGCGAGCCAGCGCACCGCCCCAGGGTGCTGCGCACGCTCGCGGTCGTCACCCGCCCTGCCCTGGTCGGCCGCTCCCGCGCGCCCCGGCCTCGGCGCGGCGGTCATGCTTCCGCCCGCCTTCCCTCCCTCCCTCCCCCTCCCGCCTGCCATCCCCTCGCCATCCTCCGCTGCAGCCTCGGCCCGGGCTTCCGCCTACGCTTCCGCCTCCACCATCTATTCCCCTCCCCCCCCCTCCAGACGCCTCCGAAGCCCCCGAAAGCCAACGACGACCTCCGAAGAGCCTCCGAAGGCCCACAAATGACATCCCTCCGAAGGTCCACAAGTAGCATCCCTCCGAAGGCCCACCGAGCTTCCCAGGGACAGGAACAACCCCCCTCGCACGTGAGCCACGCCCTAGAATCGACCGCGTCCTGCGAGCGTTGCCGAAACTCTGGCCTGAGTCTTGTTTCCGCCCGCTTCCCCTGGCCCTCTTGATTTGCATTGCTTTTTATTGTTATTCTTTTCTTTTTACAAACAAAAACTTAGGGATAAAGGTCTTTTCTGCAGATGTATCGAGCCAAACCGCCCAGATCCATGATCCCCGATGCAGAGACAGGAACCTCAATGAGGCCACGTCTTCGCCGTGCTCGTAGGGCTATGGGTTCCTTCGTTCTCGAGGCCCTCTCTCCCCCGCCCGCCCTCGGATTGCGCCTGTACTGCGTGTGCGCCGCCGTGAAGTGCAGGCTGTGCTCCACCTCTTCGGGCTTCACCCGCTCCTTGGGGAACTCCTCGGAGAAAAACACAGGCACAGGGCTGGCCGACCAGAGTGCGCGAGGACGACGACGAGAGAAACGACGAGGACAAGGTGAGAGAAGTTAGGTGACCAGGCATGGGAGCCTCAGGTAGTCGCACGAGCGCCTTGTCAGTGAGATTCAGTGGCCCCCACTAAGCCACTAGATCCCACTAAATCCTACTTGCGGCCCCGCGAAATCCCACTAAATCCACACGGGAGCACTCGCTAAGTCCCACTAAATCTCATGACTCGCCATCGCTGGGACGTATATTCCCTGTGCATGTTTCGGTTTCGTGCGTGTGTGTGTGTGTGTGTCTCTGTGTGTGTTTTTCCCCAAGGTGAGCAACATGCTCCTCGATAGTCCTCGCCGAGAAAAAATGCACACGTACGAGCGATGCCAAGATGAAGCCATAATGTGATAACCTCTTCGGGTCGAACAGAAGCTCCCAGACTTGGCCACCTAAGAGGACGCAGGGAGGAAGAATCGGCGGCGAGCCTGGAGGGGAAGTGAGAAAGGGCGGGCCTTCTCGGAAGGCTTGAAGTCCCCTGGCCTCCTGAGGAGTTGTTCAAGCCTTCCCCGAAGACAAAGGGAAAACTTCGAAGAAGGCAATAGTAAGGAGCCGAACTCTATACACCAACGCTTGTCCCAGCCCTGCACGGAAACTCTCACGAGAAGGCGGATCCTGGTGTATACGGGGTCCTGGTGTATACATTTTTCCTTGTTTCCCTGGGGAAACGGGAAACAAATATACACCACACCACCCCGACGTCGTCCCCGACTCTCAAAAAGTCCTGGGATTGAAAGAGAGCCCGCCACTGGTAATGTATACGTTCCAGCTTCCGACAGAGGGCTTCTGAGAAGCCCCGCCGCCTTCTGAGAAGGCCTTCTACTTCTCATTTATCCCCTCGCTCGCCGCCGAAAGAAGGAAGGCAGGCAGAAGGAAAGCAGGAAGAAAGAAAGACAGAAAGAAAGGAAAGACGGCAGGAGGAGACAGGGGACAAGGAGGAAGGGGAGAGGATATGAACGAAATTGGAGGAATCGGAACAGGGCTGGCTGACCGAGAAGACCTTGGAGGGGCTGGTGGAAGTCTGGAGCCCCACAGACCTCCCGTATCATTACCACCATCATCAATCGGAAGCCGATGAATGACGTCGGTGACGACGACGACGAGTGTGAGGTTGATGAAGAAGGCCGATGAGGGAAAGAAAGAAGGGGGGGCGGGGAGGGGGGGAGAACGATGAGCAAAGGGAAGGATCCCTCACTGAAATGCAAGTGCAAGCCGCCAGCGGCATCTCCCCGAAAACACAACTACCTAGCAGGTGGCCATATCTCTCTTTCCAAGTGCCAATTCTGCGCGAGAACGCGCTTCGAGCGATCGCGGGCATAAGAGGCTGTCACACGACCTGCATGCCATCGTCGAGATCCCAGCAACAAGGTCGGCGGCATACTTGCACTCGTAGTCTGATCCATGAAAACCTGGCACGACGAATACGATTCCAGACGCAATGAAAGTTCCTTTCCGTCGAAATCACATGATGGGACTGATTTCCACCACCACTACCATATGTTGGAGAAGGAGGAGGAGGGGAAAGAAGAGGAGGAGGAGGACCTCTCCCTCCAACCTATGGTAGTGGTGGTGGAAACCAAGCCCATCATCACAGACCGAGGTCCTCTCGTCCATGAGCTCGCCAGCATCCGTCTCGTCCTGTCGAGGCTCGGCGTTCGTCAGACTTCGCCCTCCTCCACCCGAATCCCCGTTGATCAGACTGCCCGCACAGCTACTGACCTGGGCGCAGAGCACCCCCTGCCCTCGGCGAAGCGATGCCATGGCTGCAACTGCTGCCTTCCACCTCGACCTCGGGCGGCCTCGATGGAGCCCAGGACGACGAACATCGCATCAGCCGCGCCGCTACGGAGAGCCTCAGTGAAGGGGCCCTGGGACACACAAACAAATACACACAAATAAAAGGATTCCCCAAATTTTCCCACATGTTCTGGGTTTTTGTCTTCCCCCCCACTTCCCATATTTTCCCATATTTTCTGGGGAATCGACGATTCATTGTGCCTGTGCGTATTTGCTCCCTCCTGAATCGCATCGGCCGCGCCGCTACAGAGAGCCTCGGCCGCCGCCCTCGCCGGTGCAGAGGGCGGCTGGGCGTGCGAGGCCGGGGCGCTGCTCCGGCTGGGCCCCCGCCCTGGCTCCCGGCGCGGCCAGCGCAGGCGCTCCCGCCGCGGAGCGCCCTGTCCGTGCCACCATGCGGCACAGGCGGTGGATGCATCACCCCCGAATCGCCCACGATGCTCCCTCTCCTCCCCCTCCTCCTCCTCCTCCTCCCCCTCCCCCTCCCCCTCCTCCTCCTCCTCCTCCTCCTCCTCCTCCTCCTCCTCCTCCTCCTCCTCCTCCTCCTCCTCCTCCCCCTCCTGGGGCCGAAGGGCCCAGCGCGCCCAGGAACGGTCGGCCTCGCCGTCGGGGGCCCATCGCCGCCCGTCTGTCGACGATGCAGCATCGTCTCCAGGTCGACGTGTCCCCCCGTGGGTCAGTCCCCCCTGAACTCTGCCCCTTATTGGTCTTGAGTGGGGGGGCCTGTCCGCGCGAGAACGGCGCCCATGCACCATACCATGTCTGGACTCCGCTGAGGCCCCGCTCCGATGCTCTGGCACATGTGCCTCGTAAAGCCTGCAACAGCTTCAAGGACGGGGCTGAACCTAAACGGTGTTGTTCGTTTTCGTTTTGCGTTCGTTTTCCCTCGCTTTTGTCTGCCCTCTTCCAGGATGGATGGGCTGGTGCCGCACCCGCACTGCCCTCTCGACGAAACGAGGCCTGCCGAACGGCCTGCGCGCATCCTCCACGCTGTCACAGACCGTGCACCGCGCCACTGCGGCGCTGTCGCAAGTAAGAGGACGTCGCTTGTGCACCGTACCGTGCTTGAACTCCCTTCAAGCTCCGCTCCAGCGCGGAACGATGCACAGCGTTTCGGCCGTGGGGGCCGAATACTTATGCACTGTGTCGAGGATCCACGTCGCCTCGGGAGTCGCCAACGCGGTACGGTGCACACAAGTCGTCCGCGGAACCTGGCAGCCTCTGCAAGCCAGTGCTGAACCCAACCGGTGTTTTTCGCTTTCGTTTTGTTTTCGGTTTCCTTCGTTCTGTCTTCAATCCACCTCTACCGCAAAACGAAGTCGAAACGAAAACGGCCCACAAAATCGCCAAACCACCGTTTGGGTCCAGCCCTGCTGCAAGCCTAGTTGCCGATCGTGTAACCGATTTGTCCCGAGGCGCAGCGGCAGCGCGTCGCCTCGTCCAGGAGCCCTGCAGAGGCAAGGGCCGCGCTTCCTTGAGCAGACACTTCCAGCCTCGGGCTCCAGCGCGGACATGGAGGAGAAGGGAGGAGGACGCGGAGGGAGGTATGCTTTTTTTAAGGGGCCCTGGGACACACAGATAAATGGGCACAGATACAAGGATCCCCTGTCTGGGTTCCTGTCTTCCCCCCCCCACTTCCCACATGTTCCCATATTTTCGTGGGAATCGACGATTCACTGTGCCTGTGTGTGTGCGTGCGTGCGTGCGTGCGTGCGTGCGTGCGTGTGTGTGTGTGTGTGTGTGTGTGTGTGTGTGTGTGTGTGTGTGTGTGTGTGTGTGTGTGTGTGTGTGTGTGTGTGTGTGTGTGTGTGTGTGTGTGTGTGTGTGTGTGTGTTGTCCCTCCCGATGCTGTCTGTCGCGCCGCTTGCCGCCCGCGGGGCAGAGGCGCAGCACGGAGGGAACGACGAGGGCGGCGGTCCAGGCACCAGTCCCAGGACCACTCGGCCACCACGCCGATGAAGGACTCGTCGCGCAGCCAGTGCAGGAGGCCCCGCAGCCACGCCTCCGCGGCGAGCCTTGCGGCTGCAGACGGCTCCGCCTGCGGGGGGGGGGGGGCATTCATCCTGCTGCTGCTGCTGCTGCTGCTGCTGCTGCTGCTGCTGACCATCGCTCGGACGTCCATTCCCTGTGCTGTGTTCGGTTTCGTGCGTGTTTTTGTTGGGGGGGGCAGAACGATCGAGGATGCTCCTTAATAATCCCCGCCGAGAAAAAGTTACGGGACGTGAAAACGACCACAGCCACTGCTTCTCTTTGGTTGCCGCCTTCCAGCCACCAGAAACAAAGCAGTGGTTGCGGTCATTTTCGTGAAGCTTGGAACCAGGGAAATGACCACAATCACTGCTTCCTTGTCGGCCGGCTGGAAGGCGGCGCAAACAAGAAGCAGTGGATGTGGTCAGTTTCCCGTCCCGCAAAAGTGCACACGTCCGAGCAATACCAAGGCTGCTGCTCATCCCTCTCCTCCAGCGCCTCCAACTCCTCGCTCGGATCTATGGCGCCAGGAGAGGTCACAGCACTGGAGCGCAACGCCACGATATCACATCATCTGCCCTGAAGTGGCCGCGGCCTCCCCCGACATGCCCAACGGGTTCTCCCGTGACGCCCCCCCTGGTTCTCGCACTTGGAAACCGCACATGGTATGACCTCCCCGAACCTGGCCCTTGCTTACCAGCCTCGAACTTATCCCTATCCCTAATTTTGACACGCCAAAAGGCGATGACAATCTTAGGGATGCGCCCTCAAAAAATAAGGGGATCCCTAAGATTGGCATCGTGATGAGGAGATGCCCAGCATAGGGATGCGGATATGTTCCAGGCTGGTAACTTGCCCCAATCAGCTCTCTTCCGCGGTTTTCCCTCCGCCTTAAGAGGCGTCCAGCCCTCGTCCAGAGCATTGAAGGTCTCATGGCTGTCGTTTTTCTCGGCAACTTTCGGGCGTTGGCAGAACTGGGTTTAGTGGAACCTGGTTTAGTGATCTGTACCAGGGGCGCCCCCCCGTCCCATTTCCACTAACCGGAACTGCCGTCACCCGAAAAAACACCAGCTATGGCAAACCTGGTTTAGTGATTCTGGCCAATTCAAAGGCTCCGGGGCCCTACCACTAACTGGGTCACCTTACCTGGGGTCCTGGCCATACCCGAAACTTGCTTTTGATAACGGAACGCTGGAGACATTGAGGGTGCATCCGAAGCGTGCGGAAATAATCCGAGGCAGACAAATTTGAACGAACTTGCTGTCTCTTTCACCAATGGTGAAGCAACATTATCGCCCCCCTAACTGGACGCCTGATTGTAGTAAGTCGCGCACACACGCACACACGCACACGTGTTTTGCTCTGGCGCGCCTTTGGACTGCGATCAGCGGGTCGAGTACAACTTCAACGGGTGGTGTACAAGGTTGCGTAACAGCTTTGTGTGGCAACCTGCACACACACATAAACTGGCGGTGAGCAGGCCACGCGGGGCACGCACAAGCTGACAACAACGCACGCACACACACACACACATCAGACTTGTTTTTCTTTCCAGCCGGCTAGACCAAGTCAGCAATGAAAATGGCGGGGAGTGGTAAGGGCAATTGTCGCTACAATCGGACATAGGCCATAATAACATCCCTCAAAATCATGCGATCCTCCGCCGGCCAAAGCATAACATCTAAGGTTGCCCTCCCCAGGATGCACAGGAGCATCCAACAAACTCGAAGAACACTAGGGCACGCTCCCCGAACCGACCTCGATCTTATACCTCGGTCCGACTGAACGCATTACGCACGCACACACACACACATGTTCCTCCGACGCGCCAGTGACACCAATGGCCGGAGACCGGGTCCGGCGGGGCGCGTAGGGGCCAAATCCGCAAACCCTGCCCGGCAGCGCCGCAGAAGCGCAGACCGGCCCCGACGTCCTCGGACCCGAGCGAGACAGCTGGGCGGAGCAGGCGGGTGAACGTTAGGAGGCAACTGCTGGGAAGTTTTCATCGGAAAAATTAAGGAGGATTGCGCCCCATTTGGGAGCTGTTACGCCGGAGTGGGCCTCGGATCAAGCCGGATTAAGCCGGATTCAGCAGGATTAAGCCGGATTAAGCGGGATGAAGCGGGATTCAGCCGGATTCAGCCGGATTTCGGACCAGGGCACAATCAGAACTCGTCCTCCCAGGAGTCGCATCCGAAGTGAACGAGCGGCGGGAGAGGCCGCGGGAGGCCAGCGGACCCCGGCAGACAGCAGGCGGGAGCGGCGCAGCGCACGGACGGGGAACCCGCCGAGCAGCGACCGAGCCCCGACCCGCGCGGCCACCCCGAAAGTAAGGTCCACGGCAGCTGCCCGGGAGAGAAGGGGGCGAGCGGCGAGCGAATCGCTTCCTCCTCCTCCTCCTCCTCCTCCTCCTCCTCCTCCACCTCCTCAACCTCCTCCTCCACCTCCTCCTCCTCCTCCTCGTCCTCCTCCTCCTCGTCCTCCTCCTCCTCGTCCTCCTCCTCCTCCTGCTGCTGCTACCCCTCCTCCTCTTCCCCTTGTTGCTCCTCCTCGACCGGACCAGCTGAGCAGCGACCGAGCCCCGAGGGCAAAACGCGGCACAAGAAGCCGCACAGGGCCGGCGCCGAGCACATCAGCACCGGCCGCCGTCGCCGAGCAGAAGCCAGCACGGGCCCCACACTGGAGGTGCAGGGGCCTGGCTCTGGCCGGGGGGAAGCCAGGAAAATGCCGATCCACCGCCACGCGCTCCCCAGACCGCTCCCGGGGCGCTCTCTGGCCACGATACCGAGGCGAATCCAGCTGTGGCGACGCAGGCCACTGGAGGCCCCCCCCCCCCAACCAAAAAAAAAAACGACGGAAACGCAGTAGAATCTCCGGCGTTCCGGGCGCGAGGAGCCGGGCCGGGGGGGGGGGCGGAGGCAAGAGCAAGAACACGGAGGCGGCCAAACAGCGCCCGATCCTGGCCCGGGCGCGCCCGCAGACCAGCCGCCCGAAGTAGCGAGGCGCAGGAAGAAGCCGCCACGCCGACGCGCAAACGCACGGCTGCGGAAAACCAGCGGAAGGAAAGAGGATGAGGAGGCGGAGGGGGGCCAAGAAGGTGGGAATGGGCGGGGCGTTGCTGGCCGACCTGGCGCGCGCGTGGTTCCCACTTCCCGCTCGCACTTGCCGATCGCGCTCCCATCCTCGCACCCCGCTTGCCCGCGGCCGCCCCCCAGGAGCACCGGAACTCAACCCGACCTGACTGGAGCGGCTTGAGCTGATTTCGCCAGCGCTGGTTTTGCCGGCGCTGGTTTCGCCCCGATGATTTCGCCAACGGCTGGTTTCGCCGGCGCTGGTTTCGCTGGAGCTGGTTTCGCCCCGCTGGTTTCGCCCCAGTCGCCGGCGGCTGGTTGCGCCGGCGATGGTTTCGCCAGCGCCGGTTTCGCCGACGCTCGACCGAACGCGCGCGAACCCTAACGGGCGGGTCGGGTCGGGCGGGCGGACCCTAGCGGGTGGGTCGGGTCGGGTCGGGCGGGCGGACCGGGCAGGTCGGGTCGGGCGGGCGGGACAATAAAATATGGGCACGCTCGACCGAGCGCGCGCGAACCCAAACGGGCAGTTCGGGTCGGTCGGGCGGGCCCTAGCGTGCGGGTCGGTCGGCTCGGGCGGGTGGCCCCTAACCGGCGGGTCGGGTCGGGTGGGCGGGACATTAAATTGCGGGGCGCGCTCGACCGAACGCGCGCAAGCCGTGCTGGGCGAGTCGGGTTGGTCGGGCGGAGCCTGGCGGGCGGGTTGGGTCGGGTCGACGGTCGGGCGGGCGGGCGCTAACGGGCGGGTCGGGTCGGGCGGGTAGGACATTAAACTGCGGGGCGCGCTCGACCGAGCACGCGCGACCCTGAAAGACGGGTCGGGTCCGGCGGGCGGACCCTAGCGGGCAGGTCGGGTCGACGGAGCTGGTTTCGCCGGCCGGCGAAACCGCCTGGGCGAAACGTGCCGGGCGAAACCAGCCGCTGGCGAAACCAGCGGTCGCCCATGGCAAAGGATGGGAGGGAAGGGTATTACGACAAATGTGACGGTTACGCGCCTAGATTGTCCTCCTCCCACGTCCTCCTCCTCCTCCTCCTCCTCCTCCTCCTCCTCCTCCTCTTCCTCCTCCTCCTCCTCCTGTTCCTCCTCCTCTTCCTCCTCCTCCTCCGCCTCCTCCTCCTCCTCCTCCTCCTCCTCCTCCCTCCTTCCTCCTCCTCTTCCTCCTCCTCCTCCTCCTCCTCCTGCCTCCTCTCCTCCTCCTCCTCCCTCCTCCTCGTCCTCGTCCTCTCTCCCTCCTCCTCCTCCTCCCCCTCCCCCTCCTCCTCCTCCTCCTCCTCCTCCTCCTCCTCCTCCTCCTCCCTCTTCCTCTTCCTCTTCCTCCTCCTCCTTCCTCCTCCTCCTCCTCCTCCTCCTCCTCCTCCTCCTCCTCCTCCTCCTCCTCCTTCCCCTCCTCCCTCCTCCTCCTCCTCCTCCTCCTCCTCCTCCCCTCCTCCTCCTCCTCCTCCTCCTCCTCCTCCTCCTCCTCCTCCCCCCGCCTCTTTCCTGCCCGCCCACCTCCTCCTCCTCCCTCCTCCTCCTCCTCCTCCCCCCTTCCCATTCCTCCTCTTCCTGTCACTCCTCCTTCATCTTTTTCGCGCAAGCAATTTCCATCTCGAGCGTGGTTCAGGCACAAAATCGTTTCGGGGCGTTCGAACCCGCAGAATTGGAAGTTGCAATGCTGCCCGGGACCGCGAAGGAGACGCACCCTGAGGGTCTCGCGTGCCGGATCTCAGCCCGGCAGAAGATGGGGGAGGTTTGAGGAAACGGTCGTAATCCGACATAACATATTCATGTTATGTTCAGAACATGTGTTATATAAACGTACATAATTAGCACGCAAGTAATATCTAAGCACGGATCAGCACGTTGAGATGTAATTTGCAACATATGCATAAAAATCAACACGCGCCAAACAATGATTCGACACGTCTGAAGGACAGGTTTGGGAGGAAACTATTATCATAACGTTTTTTCTGATAATGCGCACGTTGCGCGGGAATGTGACACCAGCTGCCGAGGCAGCCAAC